CGGCCCATCAGTCGCTCGGGCCCCGGGCCTCCTGTCGCCGTTCGAAGGGTCCCGGGCTTCAGAAACATTCTGCCGTCACTCCTCGGGACTCTCGCTCCGTCTGACAGACGTCCTCTGTTTCCTTCGGAGTCCCGGGAGCGTTCCTTGTCACGGTTCCGGTCCCCTCGGTGCGGAAACCCACTGTGGTCCTGCCGCATCTGACAGACGCGCCCACCCCACCTTGAGACTTTGTTAAAGTCCTCGGTGTCCTCGTTCTCCCCGTGGCCTCCCAGCCTGCTTTCTCCTTGCCTGTGTCGGGCTCAAACTGAGCAAGGGATCTGCCTGGACCCCTGCCCCATTTCCTCCCACTGAGCATCTCCCAGGCTCATCTGACGCACAGTTCTTCATCATCAGGACTCCTGCCATGCTTTAAACTCTAAGCTTGGCTCTCCACAGTTCTCTCAGGCCCATTTCTGTGGAAAATTAGACTAGAAAAACCTACACTTGATTCTTTCTTTGCGCACACCTCTCCCGCGGAAGCTTCCTGGCCTGATAGATGTTCCAGAAACTTTACACAAAGTTTTGTGATACCCACTCTTATGCCCCAGTCAGATCGCTGCTGTTCGCGGCTGCCGACTCTTACCTTATGTCAATTAGTGTTCAGCTGGTGATGAGTAGACCAACTCCCCTTTGTCTCTGAAGTTACAATTGTCTTATCTGGTGGAGATTTCTCACCAGTCCTACCTAAGTCCTTCCCTGTTTCAGTTCTCTGCTTCTGCATTGCTTTTTTGGCCTCCTAATCCAAATAGCCCTGTCCATTTCTCCATTTCTTCTGACTGTCCCTACCTCCATCCTGCTTCTAAGCTTTGCTCAGAGATGTTTTCTCTTAAGATTCCCTCCAGTGGAAGTCTCAGCTCAGACTTGCACCGTGTCCCTTTGACCTGTCCACATTCTGGTGGGTGGAAGCTGTAACTCGCCTTTTCTGTCATTGGGCAGCTTCAGTGTCCCTGTATTGTAGAGACATAATCTGCTGGAGGTTATGGGTGCAGCCTTAGCTCTCATGGAGTGACTGGCTTCACAGAGAGCAGATGCCAAGGATGAAGAAGTGCCATCTCAGTCCTTTAGGGGGTGACAGTCTGACCCTCGCCTGGGCTGAGCCTGTCTCCTCCACCCCACAGGCCTGGGTCCTGAGGAAAACACAATGGTGGCCATGGACTTGGGGTCTCCCCAGCTCCCTAAGAAGAGCCTACCTGTCTCTGGGGCCTTGGAGCAGGTGGCCAGTCGGCTGAGCAGCAAAGTGGCTGCAGAGGTTCCTCATGGCAGCAAACAGGAGCTGCCGGACCTCAAGGGTGAGTGGTCCAGGTGACAGGGGTGCTGGCCAGGCTGGTGATAACAGGACAGCTCTTGGGCCTGGGGGGTTAATGAGTGTTCCCAGGTTGGCAGTGGTATTATCTCCAGCACCTTAAGGCACCAAGGAGACCCCAGCTGTCTTTTCCTGAGAGCTTCTGCACCCCAGCCATGCATGGCCCAGCTGCACCCTCACTGGGTAGGGGAGGGGCATCCAGAGAATCAGCAGGCATGGTTGTCAAGAGCTCATATTCAAACCCAGGTCATTTGCCAGCTCTGACTTCTGTTAGCTGTGTGATCTGTGTTACACCGATTTGTGTTTGTTGACCATAAGATTGTTTTAAGTAGTGACAGGCACCATGTTAGTTCCCAGAAATGTGAGGAGTCAAATGGACGTGGTCTTTACCCTTGGGTCATCGAAGCTGGGGAGCCAGGAAGCGTAGAAGCAAATAGGCACGGCTAAAGGCTTCTATAGACTAGGGTGCAGAGAACCACAGGGACCATGGCTGGGGCCTCCGACCCAGTGTTGGGGGCATAAGTTGAGCCTCAAAGAGTGGCTAGTACTTACTTAGGTCAGTGTGAAGCACGTGGTTGGCAAGTCAGTGTTTTGTGTGAACCTGTTGCCAGGGCACCCTGGTGCATTGGAAATCTGAAAGATGTCCTCGCTGGTTGGACCACAGAAGGGCTCTGCGTCCTGCTGTATGCTCTTGGGCACAACTCTTCTCCTCTCTGAGCCTCAGTTTCCTTACAAACCAGACAGACTCTAATCCCTGCCTCATTAGAATCGTTGTGAGGATCAAGCAGGGTTGACAGAAGCAAAACACTTACACGGAGCCTGGGTAAGGCTGGGAGAAGAGGGCAAGCTGTGCCCCAGGTCTCACAGCCTGCTCTCCTGGCCTCCGTCTTGCCCTCCAGCCCAGAGCCTCACCACCTGCGAGGTCTGCGGCGCCTGCTTTGAGACCCGCAAGGGCCTGTCCAGCCATGCACGTTCCCACCTGCGGCAGCTGGGGGTGGCAGAGTCAGAAAGCAGCGGTGCCCCCATCGACCTCCTCTACGAGCTGGTGAAGCAGAAGGGTCTGCCGGATGCTCCCCTCGGGCTGCCCCTGGGCCTGACTAAGAAGTCCAACTCTCCAAAGGAATTGGTTGCAGGGGCCACCCGGCCTGGCCTGCTCACCCTGACCAAGCCCTTGGATGCCCCAGCCATCAACAAAGCCATCAAGTCACCTCCTGGCTTCTCGGCCAAGGGCCTGGTCCACCCACCCAACTCTCCACTCCTCAAGAAGGCACCACTGGCCCTGGCGGGCTCCCCTACTCCCAAGAATCCTGAGGACAAGAGCCCCCAGCTGTCCCTGAGCCCCCGGCCGGCCTCCCCAAAGGCACAGTGGCCCCCGTCTGAGGACGAGGGGCCTCTGAACCTCAGTGAGTGCGGGTCCTGGGAGCTGAGGGAGGTCCTGGTGCTGAGGGAGGGACTGGGTCAGTTGAGCCTGGGGTAGGGACAGTGGGAAATGCGGTTCTCACATCCTGGGTTAGCCAGGTCAGAAAACTGGTTGAGGCACTCACTCCCTCTCCTGTTGGGCTGCCCTGCGTATGATCATCTGTCTCCTACTTTGCTGATCTTTCCCTGGAGGCATGGCCACCGCTCTGAGCCTGCCAGGGTCCTCCTTGCCACTTATGGGCAGCTCTTGTCCTTCTCTGAGGGTTGGGGCAGCAAAAATAACCAGGGCCATTGTGGGCCTGTCTTCTCCAGTGGGAGTTCAGGGCATCTTAGGCCCTGCAGGTAGACAGGTGGTCTGCCTGACAGGAGTTCCCCTTGGTTGGCTCCATCTTCGTCTTCCTGGCCATCCCATGCAGAGGTGTCTCTCTGTGTGTGCCCAGGGGTGGAGCCCCTCCACCTGTGCTGCCTGTGGGCTTGGCAAGGAGGGTCCAGGAAGAAAACCTCCAAACGCAGTGAACAGGTTTCATGAGCGTGTCCCTTAGGACATCAAGCTTTCCTGTGTGTTTGCGGGCATTAAGAGTCTGGGGGTGTCCCCAGAGTCTGGCCCCAGCCTGGAAAGCACCCCAGTTGGCACCTAGTGTTCACGTGGAGCTGCTTCCACTGAGTCCACTGTGGTTTGAGGTCCCTTGGTAGCTGTCCCCTGATCTATACGGTGCTCGGCAGCCCGGCAGGAGCCTCCACTCTGCACCCACCATCTGCCCCCTGAGCTCCCCTAGCAGAGATCCCAGGGGAGAGGGCCTGGGAGCATCAAAATTTGCCACAGGAGTTTGGTGACTTCCTGTCCACCCTACATCCTTAAGCTCTCTGCCTTCACTTCGTTGCCAAAGGGCTAGCCTAAGAACAGTCCCGCTGCCCAAAACCTCTCAAAATCAAACTGCGATATAACACTTGAACCCCAAACTGCCTAGGCAGCAGAGAATCACACTAGACCCTCCTGCCTTCATGCCCCAGGGCGGCCAAGGTGGCGGCCGTGAACCCCCCCTGTGTTTTGTCTCCGCAGCTTTAGATAGTGACGGGGGCAGAGAGCTGGACTGCCAGCTGTGTGGTGCCTGGTTTGAGACCCGCAAGGGCCTGTCCAGCCACGCCCGTGCCCACCTGCGCCACCTGGGCGTCAGCGACCCGGACGCCAAGGGATCCCCCATAGACGTGCTCCACGGGCTCATCAGGAGGGACGGCGTCCAGATCCGCCTCCCACCCGGGCGTGGAGCTCTGGCCCAGCTGGGGCGGCCTCCTTCCGCCTCCGTGGCCCTCTCCTTGCTCCCCCCCCCACCGCCGGCCAAGAAGGCCAAGCTGAAGGCCGCTGGTATGGCCAGCCCCTGGGGGAAGCAGGACCTCTCGGCCGCCGGCATTTTCTGGGCCTCTGATGTGGAGCCGTCTCCTCTCAACCTCTGTAGGTTCTCGCTTCAGCCGCCCCCTCCTCCCTGTGGGCCCTGGAGCCCCTCCTGGGGGGGTCATGACCCCCTCCCTACTCCCTCCCTATTGGGGCAGGGAGTAGACAGGGGCCCTTGGCAGTGGGCCGGCTTTGCCCAGAGATCTTGTTGGCACTGGGCTGTTTGGCCCTCTCTCTTGGCCTTGACGTCCATCACCATGATCCTTCCTGAGTATGAAGGCCAAGGGGAGGGTCCTGCCTTTTCATGTGGAAGGTGCCCACATCTGCCCCTGGGTCTGGACGGCACACGGCACCTAGGTTGCCACTTCTGCCCTCCTGCCCCTGCCCATTTTGGAACCTGTAGAGCCGTGGAATCTTGGTTCTGTCCTCCTCCGCAGGACCTAGGGACCATTTGCTCTCTGTAGCCTCCCCTTGTTCCTGACTGGTGTCTGGCCCCGCCCCGTTCCTCAGCTCCCATTCTTAAACCTCCCCTCCGCCACCACCCTAGCCTGTGGGCCTGCTTCTGCCTACACCCAGCTGACCGGGACACTCCTGCAGGTGACCATGTTAGTGATGCCCATAATTCTAACTGTGCTTTTCTCCTCCTGCTGCAGCCTCTGGGCCAGAGCCAACTCGAGACATCCGCTGTGAGTTCTGTGGTGAGTTCTTCGAGAATCGCAAGGGCCTGTCAAGCCACGCACGCTCCCACCTGCGACAGATGGGTGTGACCGAGTGGTATGTCAATGGCTCACCCATTGACACGCTGAGGGAGATTCTGAAGAGACGGACCCAGTCCCGACCAGGTGGACACCCCCACCCTCCAGGGCCTAGCCCAAAAGCCCTGGCCAAGGTGGTGGGCAGCGGAGGTCCTGGCAGCTCACTAGAAGCCCGCAGCCCTTCGGACCTTCATATCTCGCCCCTGACCAAGAAGTTGCCACCACCACCAGGCAGCCCCCTGGGCCACTCACCAACTGCCTCTCCACCTCCCACGGCCCGGAAGATGTTCACAGGCCTGGCTGCACCCTCCCTGCCCAAGAAGCTGAAGCCTGAACAAATGCGGGTGGAGATCAAACGAGAGATGCTGCCGGGGGCCCTTCATGGGGAGTCGCACCCATCTGAGGGTCCCTGGGGGGCGCCGCGGGAAGACATGACACCCTTGAACCTGTGTAAGTGAGCCTGTGGCAGGGCAGGGAGAATGGAGGGATCTCTTCCCTGCCTCCCCTTGGGAGCATCCATAGCACCTGGGTTGAAGCGGAAGGGAGGATACACAGGGATAGCTGTTGCATTCTTGCTGTGTAGATTCCTGCCACTGAGCTTCTTGATTCTCTGTTATGCATGGGGGAGGCAGGACTGTGTCATTCAGCGATGGCAAAAAGATTTTCTTTTGTGCCATCTTCAACCAATTGGTAGTGGCTGCCAACCATATTCCCAGGAAGAAAGACTGCAGGGATCAATTAGTGATGTTTGCCATGGGCAGGGACAGGGTGCACTGACAGATGTCTGAGCTGTGTCTTCTGACATTCTTGCTCATTGAGTGTTTGACATTTTGCAGTCAAGTTTGAGTCAAGATCACTGTTCCTCTACAGTGTAGTAAAATATGACCATGGCAGGTTTCCTCATTTGGGTGATGGAGGTGAGCATAGTCCCATGTCTGTATGGTGGGGTGAAGCACTTAGCACAGGGCCTGTTTACAGAAAGCTGTCTTTTGCAGTCATTGTCATCATGTCACTGTTACTTGCTTCCCTGTCACACTGATGATGTGTCCGGTCTGCTTGGGTTGATTGAGTGCCTGCTATATGCCAAGCACATGAGGATAGCCCAGGCTCTACTTTAGAGCTCACACACCGGTTCTGTGCTATGTGCTGACCCCTCCCAGTAACACTAGGGAGTGAGGGTTTTCATCTCCGTCCTGCAGAGAAGGAAGCTGAGGCTCAGAGAGGGGAAGTGGCTTTTCCAGCATCACAAAGGCAGACATTGTGAAGCCAGCTAGAATTTAAGGTGATAGAACAAGAGGGCTGAATGTATACAAAGGTCTCTGGAGACCCAGATGAGGAAGCAGGTCACTGGAGTCTGGGGGAGGCATGGACAGGCAGCTGGCCCTGACACGGGGCTTGAGCATGGAGGCTTCCTGCCGTAGCCGCTGCCTCCCTCTCCTCCCCCCCTCCCTCTGGATCCCCTGCAGCATCCCGGGCAGAACCAGTGCGTGACATCCGTTGTGAGTTCTGTGGTGAGTTCTTCGAGAATCGCAAGGGCCTGTCAAGCCATGCACGTTCCCACCTGCGGCAAATGGGTGTTACCGAGTGGTCCGTCAATGGCTCACCCATCGACACACTACGGGAGATCCTGAAGAAGAAGTCCAAACCGTGCCTCATCAAGAAGGAGCCTCCAGCTGGAGACCTGGCTCCTGCCCTGGCTGAGGATGGGCCCCCAACAGCTGTTCCAGGGCCTGTGCATTCCCCACTGCCATTGTCGCCCCTAGTTGGCCGGCCAGGCAAACCAGGAGCTGGGCCAGCCCAGGTTCCCCGGGAGCTCAGCCTGACTCCCATCACTGGGGCCAAGCCCTCGGCTACTGGTTTCCTGGGCTCAGTGGCAGCAAAGAGGCCCCTGCAGGAGGACCGCCTCCTCCCCGCAGAGGTCAAGGCCAAGACCTACATCCAGACTGAACTGCCCTTCAAGGCAAAGACCCTCCACGAGAAGACCTCCCACTCCTGTAAGCAGCAGGTGGCAGGGTCCCGGGAGGGCATCTGCCAGGTCCTGCAAGGCCGGGCAGTGCCACAAACACCCACACTGTCCCCAAGCAGGGCCCCTGAGGCAAGGTCCCTATGGGAGGTGGGATTGGCGTCTGGCCTTGCTCAGGCCACTTGGGTATGCCTGCCCTCTCCGGGCCATGACTCAGCAGCACCCCCTCTGCCTGCAGCCACCGAGGCCTGCTGCGAGCTATGTGGCCTTTACTTTGAAAACCGCAAAGCCCTGGCCAGCCACGCACGGGCGCACCTGCGGCAGTTCGGTGTGACGGAGTGGTGTGTCAACGGCTCGCCCATTGAGACGCTAAGCGAATGGATCAAGCACCGGCCCCAGAAGGTGGGCGCCTACCGCAGCTACATCCAGGGCGGCCGCCCCTTCACCAAGAAGTTCCGCAGTGCCGGCCATGGCCGTGACAGTGATAAGCGGCCATCCCTGGGGCTGGCACCCGGGGGCCTGTCCTTGGTTGGCCGCAGTGCTGGGGGGGAACCTGGGCTTGAGGCCGGCCGGGCGGCTGACAGCGGTGAGCGGCCTCTGGCAACCAGCCCTCCAGGGACCGTGAAGTCTGAGGAACACCAGCGGCAGAATATCAACAGTGAGTTCCAGTGGAAGAGGGTCGTATGGGTGGCAGGCTCCTGCTGGGGCCCACCAGCTGCCCACTGGGCCCTGCCCTGCATTTACTTCCCCAGTTGCTCAGCCCTCCACTCGTCTGTCTCCATCCCATTTATCCAGACAGCGGCATTACCAACTGTCCTTTCTTTGAGTCCCACAGTGTCTGCTGCTTGCTTACTGAAGGCAGAGGTGTCCCTAGAGCCCTGGCCCTCCTGCTCATCTCCCATCCCTTTCCCCACCTTAGAATTTGAGCGCCGACAAGCCCGCCCCCCAGATGCCTCTGCAGCCCGGGGAAGCGAGGAGGCCAATGACTTGCAGCAGAAGCTGGAGGAGGTGCGGCAACCCCCACCCCGGGTTCGGCCAGTTCCCTCCCTGGTGCCTCGGCCCCCCCAGACATCACTTGTCAAGTTTGTTGGCAACATCTACACCCTCAAGTGCAGGTACGCTGCCTGTGAGGGGAGAAAGGGATGACACTTAGCTGGGCCTTGGCCATCAGAAGCTTGGGAACAGGACAGTGTGGAGGTTGAAAAGTGTGGCCTCATGGGCTGTCCCTAGGTGTGGCCGGGTCCTAGTTAAGGGCTCTTCATAGACAGTGGAACCTCAGGAGCTTCAGGCTGACACCCTAAACTTTGGAGTAAGCCAGACCTGGGTTCAAATTCTGATTCAACACTTAACCAGCTTAGTGACCTTAGACAAGAACTTAACTTCCGCGTATCTCAGTTTCCTCACCTGTAAGACAGAGTTGATTACAGACCTGTCTGATAGATTTGTTGAGGACTGAATTTAATTATTACAAAGGACCTAGAAACATGCCTGGCACATGGTAAATACTCGACAAGTATTTTTCTGATTTTGAAAACATAGGTCTTTGGGGATAGAGGCATGGCTCAAGGTGTAGAGCACCCGCCTAGCAGAGCTCTGAGTTCAAGCCCTAGTACAGCCTCCCCACCCCAAGAAAAAGGTCATATCAGTTTTGTTTTGTTTTTTTTATTCTGGGGATCAAACCCAGAGCCTCATGCATGCTAGGTAAACACTCAATCACTCAGCTACATCCTCAGAACCTTCATTTATTCTTAACAAGTCCACGTGTATTATCCGACACCAGCAAACGGGGCTGCTTGAGACATAGGGTGACTCATCTCAGGCTATGACAGGCCAAGTCAAAAGTCTTTGGAGCCACAGAGGATGGGGGGCTGTGAGTCAGGCAGGCTCTGCTTCTCTGTACCTGCTACTTTCTCAGAGCATATGCATCAGTCATACGGCAGAGGTGCTTGGGAAGCCCTGTGGCCTTTACCGAAACTTCATCTCTAGGCAAGCCTACCATGACCCTGTGATGGATGAAAGTGGCCATCCAGGGGCGAGACACCTGGCCTTTGGACACCTTTTCCTCAAATCCTGGGCTTGTTCTGTCCACACTAAGTAGTGGCAGGTGTGCCTAGGAATGTGAATAAGGCTAATAAGCTCCTGCCTCTCTTCACAGCATTGGCCACGCCTTCTCTTTGTTTTCCCCCCACGCAGGTTCTGTGAAGTGGAATTCCAGGGCCCTCTCTCCATCCAGGAAGAGTGGGTGCGACACTTACAGCGGCACATCCTGGAGATGAATTTCTCCAAAGCAGACCCCCCGCCTGAGGAGCCTCAGGCTGTGCAGGCACAGACAGCAGTGGCAGAGACACCCTAACACAAAAGCATTCCAGATTCCCACTTGTGCCACCTCTGTCTCCTCATGTTTCTCCTCTGTGTCCTCTTCCCTCTCTTCCCTCTTTCTTTTCCGTTTCCAAAGGAGCAAGCCAAAACCTCAAACCCGGTGCCCCTCAGGGGCCGGGCACACTACAAGTGGGGCACTGGGAGCCAGCTAGCCACCCTTTCCCCAGTCCAAGGACTCTGGGGCAACAGGGTGTCTTTTTCTTCAGTCCATGCCCACCTGGTTTGGTCCAGCAGGGGTAATCAGGTCCCTCGTGGCAGCCGATCTGCTCACAGGGAAGGACAGTACTCCCCTGTGTCTAGCAGCCAGGTGGGGCTATGTCTGCCACTGATGGCCATTTGCAAAGACCCCAAAGACCCCTGTTCTGGTTCCCCTATACCCCCATGAATTATCCTCTCACGCACATGCAACACACACACACACACATGCACGCACGTGCACCTCGTGAGACCTGGGATCTGTCCTAGCCCCCCAGTTCCCAAGTCAAACGACCACATCATGCCACGGTGCTTGCTCAGGGGAAGCCGCACTCCCTCTGCGGGCCCCCACTGAGCCCACAATGCCACGGAAATTCTTGTTGGCTGCCCCCCAAAGGGGCCTTCCTGCTGGGAAGAGCTCAGAGCTGACAGCTGCCTCCTGCCATGTCAAGGCCCCCAGAGCCTCAGGGGCTCCAGGGCCTAGAGGATAGGGTGAGGAGTGGGACTCTCCTCCCTCATCCTGCCTCCCTCCCCCTTTTCACTGTTGCTTTCTATGTATAGCTCCCTAGACCTTTCACTTTTTTAAAAACGCGTTTTGTGTAGAGATAAGGAACGTGGATCTTTTTATTTTGCAATCCTGGGCCAGCTAGATACCGGGAGCTGATTGACCTTTGAACTTTTTTCAGTGGCCACCTTTTGGTTATCGATCTCGATGTACCTAGAAGTATGTAAATTAGATTAAATTTCTCTTCTGGAAACACCCCGGGGCAGGCGGCCAGCGTGTGTTTTTCTGTCGAGTGGACAGGCTGGCATTGGCTAGCAGCTGGGGCTGGGATCAGGGCCTCCACTGCTGCCCAAAACCCTGGAGGCCCTGGGTTTCCCCACTGGCCGACAAGTCAACCAGATGCAGCTGGGATGAACCCAAGTTCCCAGCTGTTGGCCCTGAATGCCATGGCTGGTGGGGGGCTTTGGCTGGCTGATGAGGCTGCTCCTATGAGCAGAGAAGCAGGGCTCTGGCAACTGGTCTGGGAAAGGAGCCCAGAAGTGATTGAGGCTAGGAAGGCTTTCCAAGGAAAGGAGCTGTCCAGTGAAGGTGTCGGGGACCCATGGAGGTGGGGACAGAGGAGAAGCACAGAGCTTCTAGGAGCATAGGTTGGGGGTCGTGAGGATGCCGAGAGCTGGAACTCACCTACCATTAAAACATGACTATTTTTTGGTACTGGAGTTCAAAAGCAGGCCCTTACACTTGCTAAGCAGGTGCTTTACTATTTAAGCTACACTCTCAGCCCTTTTCCTTTTTTCAGGTAGGATCGCCCATGGTCTCCAGTATTTTTCCACTGGATGGGGCTGGTCTGGCTGGCATGACAGGCACACATCATGCTTTTGTGTTTGTTTTTGTTCTGCCTGGGCTGCCCTTAAACTTCAACCCTCCAGATCTCTGCCTCCTAAGTAACTAGGATTACAGGCAAGTCACTGTGCCCCGCTTTTTTTTTTTTTTTTTCAAAATGTGGTGCTGGATATCCATTTTGGGAGCCTTGGGCATGCTAGACAAGTGCTGTGCCACTGAGCTACAACCCCAGCTCCCCACTCCATGTGACTTCTAAGAGAGGCCTCCATTTTAATCTAACCAGCACAGGGAGAAAAAAAAAGGAGCTACTGATTTTTTCATGACCTTACTTATTTTCTCACTTTACTAGCGATCACTGAAGATTTCTGAGATTGTAAGAGATTTTGTTGGCTGCTCCTGTGTTTATTGCATGTGGTTTTTCAGCTGATTTTCACCAACTGGCCAAGCTCTGGAAAGGAGAAATGATGTCATGGGGGTGGACAGCAGGGACCTCCTCTATCCCAAACCCTGTTTTTCGTTGTTCTCCCTCTTTCCATGCCCCTGCCTGAATAGAAGGGGTTAGCAGGCAGCAATAAGACTCCTGCAAGGTGGGCCTGACCGGAGGGCTTCTTTCACCTCACCTTCCATCCTGTACTGTGGTTGGTGATATCCAAGACTCAAGAAGCAGGGAGAGCATTGTGAGGGATGAGAGCTGACCCAAAGGTGCTACCTCTTTAACTTTTTATAACTCAGTTTTAAAAATGTAAAAGCAAAGCTGGGTGGCATTGGCTCATGCCTGTAATCCTAGCTATTCAGGAGGATCAAGGTTCAAAGCCAGCCCAAGCAAATACTTCAAGAGACCCTATCTTGAAAAAACCCATCACAAAAACAGGCTGGCAAAGTGGCTCAAGTAGTAGTGTGCCTGTCTAGCAAGTGTAAGGCCCTGAGTTCAACTCTAGTACCACCAAAAAAAAGTGAAAGTGAGATAGGATGGATGCAAAAAGAAAAAAATAAAAAAAGTCAAATGATAAAGAAGTTATAACATGGGAAGCACCTCCCCACCCACCATTGTACACTGTGTATCCCTGCAATGGTCACCTACAATTTTTACCCCTTTTAGGAAAAGAATCTTTTCCTAAAACTTCTAAGCATGGCCGTTCTCTGCTTAAGCCACTCATACTGTCTCAGGCAAGGGAGCACAGTTTCAGCCTTGGAGTTGCTTCCTCTAAGCTTGTGAGGAGATTGGGTGTTCAGATCTTCAGATCAGGGTGAAATGATGACTGTGGCAAGTGTCACAAAGAAAGGAATGGGATATAGAAGAGGTGGAGCTACTTTAGTTTGGAAGCAAGGCAGGCATCCTAGAGGGTGACATGAAAGTACATCCCAAAGCTGT